AGAACTAGAATGAGCGACAACTAGGATATACAACTATGTACTGGGCTTTGGGGAGAAAAAAAAATAATAATAAATTACCTAATTCTTAGTCCCAGTTTTCACTTTGGTAGTGTCAGTATTTGAAGTATTTAAGGTAACAAAATTATGGCTTTGCCAGTATATACACATCTTATTTTTAAAGTAGTTGAATAATTGGTAACTACTTCCCTATGCCTCGGGGCACACTCAATAAAGTTGCACATAATAGATGTCCAATAATTATTCATTTCATTTTAATTAATTTCTCCCCACTCTACTCACTAGAGCAAGTAGACCTAGTCCAAGTCAGCGAGGCTTGCCTCCCAGTTTTTTGAACTACATTGGCACTTAAAAGCAGACTGGAAAAAAATTGAAAATCAAATTAAAGTAAGAGTTGAAAAGAAGTTGGGGACTGGCTGAGAGCTAAGCTTTTGGCTAATATTCTTGTTCCGTTTCTTGTTTTAAACAACATAGTCTTACACATTATTGCATTTGTATTTCTTAAAAGTCCAACTCTGCTGGCTGGGCCGGCTTCTCTTCTCTTCAGAGATCTCATTCTAACTCAGTCTCCTTGCCCTGTGCTAGTCTGAAGCTTTCTCATCTCCCTCGCAGGTGAAATGCCAACTCCGCTTCATTGTTGCCCTCAATTTGTTTCCCAGCTCGGTGTGCTTTTCACTCCTAGACTAGGGGTGCTTCGGGTGTGGGCAGATATCTCTAAGGCTGAGGATCACAGTGAAACGCCATGATCTAATGCCTGTTGAATAACTGAGGCGGGAAGGGGGGCTACAGGACAATGGAGGGAAATCAGTAGTTTGAAAGTTCCTTAATAGAAGGGTCTAAGCCTTCCTTTCCTTTCCTCTTGCCCCTCTTTCCCCAAGCTGAGAACTCCCTCTCTTGCCTTGTCGGTTTCCCATATTCTTTGGCCTTTAGGCTGGGATACTACCACCTGTCACAATGCCAGGTATTTTGAATGAGCCAATTTCTCTGTCCTTGGCTCTTATTAAGAATTAGCCAATGTTTCTCAGAAGAAGAAAACACCCTAGAATCTAGACATATGATTAAATGAACCTAATGTATGCTGAATGATTAATTTGCTGGTTTGTGCAAACGTTGGACACGAGCATCAATGTTATCCTTTTCATGTAAATGTCCACTTTATTTGAAATCCAGTAAAGGGAAACTAAGCAATAATGCGTATTTAAATTTCTTTTGAGTTCTGACAGATGACCTTTCGAAATTGTTAAAAAAAAAAAAAGAAAGAAAGAAAAGCTGTATTTGGAGTTAAAAGCCCTAGATTAAGGCCCCAATTTCTTCAAACTGTGTAACAGGAGATCAGGCACTTAACCTTTCTCAAGGTGTCTCCATTGTTTTGTCTGCAGGTTGATATCAACCTGCTTTACTGATGATGATCAGGATGATCAACCTGATGAGGTTGATATCACCTGCTTTACTGAAGTCAATTCTCTCATCCCCTCACTGGTAGAAGCATTCTGTGTAATGAGAAGTATGCTCAGTCCCTTTTTACCTTAATCTTACAATTATACCTTAATCTTACCAACTCTTACCTTTTCTAGTCAATAAGCTTCAAGTTGCTCAGACATTGCCTGACACAGAATCAGCCCATTCTGTAGAAGAGCAGCCTTGAATCTGGAAGATTTAAGCAGCCTATCTGCACTGCATATTTTTAAAAAATTTTTGAAACACAATATATATTGCTTTGCTTTGTGGGTTTTTTTAAATTTGGGGGCTTTTTTTGCATGCCTTTTATTACATTTTTTTCTTCTTTTGAACAGGATAAAACAAAAAGTGAAAATCACTCATTCCTAGTCCCCAAACCTATCTACCAGAGATGACCACTATTAACAGCGCGCTCCGTATTTTAAGAATTTTATCTATGTTTATCATATTAGTGCAAGTAGGCTAATTACCATAACAAATAGACAAAAATAAAAATGTGTAAGAGCCCTAAGGTAACTGAAGTTTCTTCCTGTTCACGGGACAGTACCGGGTGGATGCGCAGGTGGGCGGGGCAGCCCTTCTCTATCTATCACCCAGGGATCCAGGCTCAGATCCAGAGGTGCTGCCGTCTTCAGCTCTTGTTCACACTCACCCTGGAGGCCATCTCTATTCCAACTCACTGTGCTTCAGTTACGTACAGATTTTCTTTCTCTTGGTGTCCCCAGCTTCCTGGCAGGATAGCTAGCTTGCCTCCTGCACACTTGGGCCATAATTGCTTAACTCAACATTGTGTGGTTCAAATTCACCCTCACAGGCATACTCAGAACTCATTCAAATTTGGACTCTTCTTTCACCCTTCTACTCTTATCAGAGGTTCTTCGGTACTGACCTCTACTCCTCCTTGCCTCCTATCTGTAAAAATGATACCCCCTGAAGTCACTTCTAACATCTGTCTCCATTTAGCTAAACTACTGACGGTCCATGCCCCTTCTCCTTCTTTGCTTCAGCAGAGATTTTATTTGTCTAGCTTTATTGAGATATAATTGACATTGTGTGAGTTTAAAGTGTACAATGTGTTGGTATGATACACATATATTGCAAAATAATTACCACCATAGCATTAGCTAACTCCTCCATCCCATCACATAATTACCATATCTTTTTTGTGGTGAGAACATTTGAGATCTACTCTCTCAGCAACCTTCAAGTATATAATACAGTATTATTAGCTATAATCACCATACGGTACGTTAGATCCCAAGAACTTGTTAATCTTATAACTGGAAGTTTGTACCCTTTGACCAATATCTCCCCATTCCCCTCTACCCCCCGCCCCTGATAACTACCACTCTGCTCTCTCTTTCTCTAAGTTCAGCATTTTTAGATTCCACATGTAAGTGATATTATACAGTATTTCTCTTTCTCTCAGCAGAGAGTCTTTAAAAGTCACTGGTGAGCAAGTGTTTAGCTGACTGTCTTCTTACCTCAGAAAGTGGCTTCTTTTCCCTGGTGTTTTCTTGTGGCATCTCTTACCCATCTTTCCATTTTTTCACTCTTTCATTTTCTCCAAGAAATCTCTCTCCTCTTTTGTGTCTCCCTCTCTCTTCTTGCTGCCTCTCCCACCTCTTTCTTCTCTTACAGCCGCCATGTTGGTTGCCAGCCTCATTTATCAGCTGTAACCAACAGCAGTGTTTCATTCCCCTTCATTCTCTACCTCTAAAGCTGATTCAGTTGGGCTACACTCCCTTTCACTGTGACATTCTCTTGGGCCACTCACTAAAGTCTACTTGTTCAACAATAGTGTCTCATGGAGCAATTTTCCAGACTGCAAACCACACTCAGTTTCCAAATTCTTCTAACTGGTTTACGTTTGATTGATAGCAGTTCAAACCCTTCTCCCCAAATGGAAAGCTCTGGCAAGGAGTTTATTGCTCACCTTACAGGGAGCGAGCACCTGACTCAGCAGTGTGATAGTCTCTTAAAGGAGAAGGCAGGATAGCTATGAGATGATAGAGTAGGGTAGCCAACCGGGCTAGTTTTCCCAGGACACAGGGAGTTCCAGGGATATAGGGCTTTTAGTTTCAAAGTAGGACAAAATCTAAAAGTCTTGTTTAAAGTGGGTCTTTCCACACAGGGTCTTGGTTAGGTAAGGATCGTGATATGATAGTCTAGAATTAGTGGACACAGCAAAGCAAAGATTTTGAGGTGAGGGATTCTGAGAGTCTTGGGATATAAACTGTTGATGCTTTCTGTTGAAGCATTGATGGGTCTTTCAAGAAGTTCCTGTAATGAACAATAAACTTATTTGCCTGGGCAAAAGTTACGCTAACGAAGACAATGGACCAATAGGTTATATTAATACAGACAGTAAACTGAGTTGGGGGAGGGGGTAGATGGTTTCTGTTCTCAGAGTTAATTCCATCCTCTCTTTTCCAAGGGCTGTTTCATAGTCAATGTTCTTAGTCCAATACCAAACCTAGCATTTTGTTTTGTTTTAATTTTGTACAAACATTGCAGCATCTCCAACCCCCAGTCTTTGACATCTCTTCTTTCATTCCACTCAGGAGGATAACAATTATAAAACTATCATTTATAGAGCCTTCATTGCATGCTAGGCCACATGTCAAACCACTTATAGGCATTATTTAATCCTCACAAGAGTCCTATGAAACAGGTGCTGTCATGGTCCCTATTTTACAGATGAGGAAACTATGGCTCAAAGAGATCAAGGAACCTACCCAAGGTCATGTATCCAGAAGTGGCAGAGCCAAGATTTGATCTCAGTTCTGTCTGACTGTTCAGCGATAAAAAGGAGCAAACTACTCATATATGCTACAACATGGACAAACCTCACATTGTGCTAAATCAAAGAAGCCAGACTCTTTTAACCAATCTACAAATGTTGAATACATTTAATTTTACCAGTGATAGCCCATTTCTAACAGTCACTGATTTCACTAATGCTACTGTGCATTTTGCTTAGCATCTATATAAACCTAAGTGTGTAAGTAACAGACATACATGAGATCACACCACATGTGCTGAAGAGTCTTAAATTACTGACATAGAAAAATAAACCCAAATGAGCTGTTAAGACTCACTACATCCACTCCCTCTGAAATAGCAATTGACACAGGAACCTTTATTGACTTGCTGTCATCCATCATGTGATCCGTGCAACCTCCCACTCCAGGGCCAGGACACTTGCTATGGTTAATAATAAAGATATCTGTCTTCCACAAACCACTGGAGGGATTTTCTTTTCTATTTAGATATAAAAGGGGGGAAAAAAGCTCTGAGACTACAATTAAGGAAAGGTGGCCCATAAATTCAAATGGACCGAGACTAAGTCAAGGATGAGAGACGGCTGAACAGCCACTGAGTCCCTGCGAGGAGCCAGGAGTAGCTCGCTGTTGATGGGACGGACTCCTGGCAGGAACAGTCCCTGGGGCACCAAATGTGCGTTCTTCTTGTGAACACTTGTTCAACCTGATTTATGTTGTTTGACCTTTGAGAAGACAGAAATGGGTTATGGTGAATATGTTTCCTGTAACTTTTACAGAGAGATTCGGAATACCAGAAGCTTAACTTACATAGAGCCTGGGGCCCTAAAAGAGCTTCCCCTTCTGAAGTTCCTGTAAGTATGAACTCCTCTCTCATCCTACCTTTTTTCTTTTCTTTTCTTTTCTTTTTTAAAGAGAATTATAATGCTGTTGTCTTCCAAGGATCTCCCTGGGATGTTGTGGGCCAGGGTCATTTTAGTGGTATAAGGCCTGGGGCAAATCATATCCTGTGACTTACTCCTACCCTTTCGCATCAGGCAAGGCATCAGGTGAAATGATCCACATTTTAAAAACTTCTTCAAAAGTCAGCACATAGTGCTGGGACCAGAGACCTACTCCAAGAGATATGAGGGAGAAAATGCCATCGTGTATTAAAAATTTAAATTTAAAAATTTAAAAAGTCTTTAAATTGAGTATAACAGAACAAAACAAAAAACTCTGAGAACATATTGGTCAGTTTTATTGGGAAATGGGTATCGCAATATTAGAGTGACTGTTACACAGCAAAAAAAAAAAAAAAAAAAGCCACAAATGGTAAAATCCAATCTCTTAGAAGTTGGGGGGACAAAAACGGAAGGGACAGTACTTACTGCTTTGGTTTGGTGACACCTTATGAGCTAACCATAACGTCCATGAGAGCAGGGACCACAACGTTTTTGTTCTCTATTGCATCTTTACTGCCTAGCACAGATTAGGTGCTCAATAAAAATACTTTCAGTGGATGTATACATATGGCCTCAGGTTCTCTCGGCATCAGCTGGAAGAACCCTTCCTTTCTCCTCTTCTTTCCTGCTCACACACATTGCAAAAGATTAGAACACAAAAACAGTATGAGGAAAAAATAAAAATCAACCTTAATCCTAATACCCAGAAATAATCACTATTAACATATTAGTTCATTTCCATTTAGGGATTTTAAATAAAAGTGTACATCCCTATATATATTTTATGAAATAGGTCTTTAAGGATGAATAGAAATTATCTAGGAAAAGGAGGGAGAGAGGTAGACGAGAACTACAGGTGGATGGAATAACATAATAAAGACAGAAAGGTATGGAACCACAGGGCTTATTGGGGAAGTAAAAATAGTTCAGTATTGAGGAGGTGAGAATGGGAGATGATGGGAGAACAAAAGAGGATATTGATGGGATATATGGATGAAGGCATATTTGGAGAGCAATAAAAACTTATGGGACAAGGCAATCACTCCTGTATGGACTCTGAGCTTCAGTCAATAATTCTGACATGATGATCTTCTACTATGTGCAAGGCTCTGTGGAGAGCACACAGGATTATTAAACATTGTCCTTGCCTTCAAGAAGCTTACAATTTAGTTGGAGAGATGTTGTATATGAAATTAAAAGTTTCCTCCTATAGGAGAATAATGATAAGTGACAAATGAGAGGTACACACAGTATTTGAGGGTACAGATAATTAGAGGAGACATCAAAAAGGAGATGGGACTTGGTTTGGGGTTTTGAAGAATAGAGAGGTGCTGGTCCAAGTCCCTAATCTGGCATTTGCAACACTTTCTTATATGGCCCCAATTTAGCTCCTGGGCCTTCCCCCGACCCCCGTTCTTCTGCAAGAACCCCTATTGCAATTGAATTAGTTTGTTTACTGATTTTCAAACATACCTTATGGAATCTCATCTCGCTCCTTTATCTGAAATATCCTATTTGCTCTTTTTGAGACCTCCAGCTCCTGCTGCTTCTTCAAATGCTATGCCTTCCCCTCTAGCAGGAGTCAAGTCTGAATTTGCCTTAAAAGGGTGTCAATGGAACTAGGGTTTTCTCTACTGGAAAACTTTCTTTAAAGCTTTATTGGTTTGTCTAGGTCTCACCCCATGCCATGCCAAACATCTCAAAAAAAATCTCTGCTTCCACTACCTACATTCTAGTAGCTGCAACAAATGGTGGACCAACTAAATCTGAGAGGCATCAGGAGCCTGAGAGTTTTTGTATTCATGCTGTTTGATGCACATCTCTTAATTTTGACATTTTGCCCCGATGACACAAACATTGGAAAATGAAGATGTTGTCTTTGACTGATTTCCTTCCCTGTCTGGACATATTTTTTAACTGCTGCCGTGGTACTCCCAGGTGACTGCCATGGGGAAACCATTCTTGGAAAATACGAACACAGTATAATACAGAGTTTGAAAGAAGAAGCCTGACTTGGAGTTGGGTAATTATATTGTCTTCCTGCCCCCTCCTCCCCTTATTCTACACCCCACCTCACACACGTAACGTGCTCCAATTAAAACAAGGAAATACACGCACGTACACACACACACACACACACGGAAGAAACCTGAATTCCTATTTCTAGGAATCTCACTTGGTTCAAACAATCCCCAGATTCTTCTAAACAGAAGAGATGTTTTGACACTGCTGGACTGGCTTGGATTCTTGCACCTGGACAGAACGTAATCTCATCCAAGGGTTAGAGCTTGCCCACGAGCACTGAGATATTTAGCGAAGGAGCCAGGATTTGACTCCTGTCTGACTTCAGAATCTATTTTACTTCCTATGTGTTGATTCTTACCTAATTTCTGTTCTTTTTTTCTGCTTTTTCATTACTTTAGTGGCATTTTCAACACTGGACTTAGAGTGTTCCCTGACCTGACCAAAGTTTACTCCACTGATGTATTCTTTATACTGTAAGTATGCATACATGCAATGTTCGGCAATATTTTATTTGTCACTGACAAGAACTAGGGTGCAGCCATGGGGATTGGTTGGAGCCAAGTGAAGTGATTGTTTCAAGAAGGAAGCAGTGATCAGCTGTGGCAAATACACTGATGGATGAAGTAAGGCAAGGACTGGGAAAAAGCCATTGGGTTTAGTAATGTGGGGCAATGGTGATTCTGACAAGGAGAGTTCCAGTAGAGCACTGTGGGTGGAGAAGTCTCGTTGGAATGGGCTTAAGAGAGAATCAGAGAGAGAGAATTAGAGAGGGTAAAAGTAACAAACTCTTTTGAGAAGCTCTACTATTAAAAGGGAGCAAAAACTGTCTCAGCAGTTAGAGGATATTACATCAGGAGAAAAGATTTGTTGTGTTCTTTTTTTAAATGCGAGAAATTATGGTATATTTGTTTGCTGATAGGAATGATTGAAGGAAAATTTGATGATGATGATAATTTTTCACATGGTTTTTAATAGCTTTTCAAACACTTTCTCAGACATTATCACATTTGCTGTTATCAACTACCTGATCAGGCATAAAAGGAAGTTATAATTTTTCCATTTTACAAATGAGGAAATTGAGGAATAGAAAACCTACGTGATTTTATCTGAGCAGGGTCCCAGGGAGCAGTCACTACTGGTGCTCAAACTACTTTCTGTGACTTCTGATTGTGGTCATGGGCTCTTTTTCAAAACCCATGATACAGTCAACTGTCTTACCTAGTTGTGGGTAAGTTGTAGGTAATTGCCTTGCCTAGTTGTACAGAAGTGAAAGGATGTGCAGAGAGAGAGTTGCAAGTTGAATTTGCACTACAGAGTAAGAGAAAATGTGGAGTGATAGAATCCAAACTCTTGGGGTTTTGCTAGGAAAAAAACTGATCATGCTTATTTGCTGCAGACCAGCTCAGTTCAAAATACAGGCAGTCTTGCAGGAACTAGACTGGCTTATAATTGTTCTCCATGAGCATCTGCCTGGCAGAGTTTTGCAAATGGAGGATATTTTAGTAATACTCATGAAATGAAATCCATTGATCCCATTCTCCTGTTCCCTCTTAGAGGTTCCATACACTTAGAAAAGTTGGGGCCAGCCCGGTGGTGTAGCGCTTAAGTTCGCACGTTCTGCTTCTCGGCGGCCTGGGGTTCGCCAGTTTGGATCCCAAGTGCAGAAATGGCACCACTTGGCAAGCCATGCTGTGGCAGGTGTCCCACATATAAATTAGAAGAAGATGGGCACAGATGTGAGCTCAGGGCCAGTCTTCCTCAGCAAAAAGAGGATTGGCAGCAGATGTTAGCTCAGGGCTAATCTTCCTCAAAAAAAAAAGAAAGAAAGAAAACTCTATTTGCTGTGGACAAATTGTTTGTCACAGATTCAGAAGTCTCTGAGACAGCTGCTCCCCTTGCAGAGGAGGATTAAGTCAGGGACGTCAGCCCACACCCAAACTCACTTGCTTATGGCACATTTGGGGCTCTGAGTGCATGTCCACCTAGGACAGCTGTCACCACCTCACCAGATCTCTGAGCCACCATCAGCTATGAAGGGTCAATGAAACTTAAAAAGAGATAAGATTAAACTGAACTATATCAGGTTATTTATTTAAGTGCATATGTGTAGCAAGAGCCCAGCTCCAGAAGGAAAGTATTTTTTTCACCAAATGCTTTCGTCCCTCTCTTGCAGTGAAATTACAGACAACCCTTACATGACTTCAATCCCTGCGAACGCTTTTCAGGGACTGTGCAATGAAACATTGACAGTGTGAGTATTACCAGTTCCACTGCTGCCAACAACTGAATTTTTATTTGGGCCATTGTCATATTTTCACAGGTCACCCAAGAACCATACCACCTTATAGTATGTGCTCTATAGTCTACCAAGGGTCGCACATAGTTAAATAAGAGTATTGCCTTATGGTATGGTACTCTGTAGAAGACGAAATGGTTTAGGTGACAAGACAAGAGTATTCCCTTATAGAAATGGTCAGCACACTTTATCTGTAAAGGGCCATTTAGGTTTTATAGACCACCTGGCCTGTGTGGCAACTGCTCAACTCTGCCATTTTAGGGCATTGAATATATAATACATCAGCTCATGAGCATGGCTATGTTCCAATAAAACTTTATTTACAAAAACAGGCAGTGGGCCAGATTTGGCCTACAGGCCTTTTGATATACTATTCTGTATTCTAGTATCTCCCTTGTGCAGAGGAAGAACCTGGGGTTAAAACTAATTTAAGTGACTTTCCGAAGGTCACTGAGTTAGACAATGGTGCTGCTGAGGGCTTTTCACACTCTCTGCACTCACACGTTCACTCCGTCATCACAAACCATTATCCAGCTCCTATAAAGGGATAATGAATAGAAAACATAGTGCTGCTCTACAGCATCATTTTTCCAGAGTTGGAATGGGTTCTGCTCTTTATGTTCAAAAGGAGATGCTTTATCAGGGAAATTCACAAAATGTTCTAATGGAGAAGATCTAATAGAGGTATAAAAGATAAGCTAATTCTCCAAACTGGTAGAGAATTCCCCTCTCTCGTGGAATTAGCCACAAAGTAGAGTTGGGGCTACATCCAAAGGATCCCTTCCTCTAGTTTCAGCATCACTAGCCAAGTTCAGGCCTCGTGGGTTCTTTGCTTGGATTGTCACCCAGCATCTGTTCTCTGGTCATACTACAGTCCAGGGGTTCTTTATCATATACAAACCTGAGTGAATTATTCCCCAGCAAAAGTGATCCAAGCTTCCACATAATTCTTCTCTGGGGCTATTTCCATGCCATTCTAAGTCTATCAGTCTAGGCCGTCTGAAGCTATCTCAACCTCTGGGACTCTAACTACAGCAAAGCATTTCAGTTCATTTTTCTCCTAGAACCCTGGGGAGAGCTCTCTTGAAAAGACAAAGACTCCTTCTCAGCTATCATTTCATTTGACAATACAACAAAGACCTGGGTCTTAGCCTGCTCAGTCCCAAACCTCAAGGCCATTTACCTCCTCTGTAAGGGTTTCCATTGTGCCATTTATCACTCATTGTACATAAACTCCATTCTCAGTTTCTTTACAGAATATTACCTTCACCTTTTGGCGTATTTTTCTAAGGACCCCATATCCCAAGCAGACCTCTAGGTGAGAGGTGCTCTTTGTTCCATACCTAGCATGGGACCCAGGAGGCATCTGATAAACATCTGAGTGAAGGAACCTCATCTTTCCAGAAATCTGGAGGTGGGAGTGGCATGGGTTATCCATTGTCTTTTCAGATGTTTATTTCAACATTCCTGAAAAAGTCCTTGCTTCTTTGAAGCTCATGCTCAAAAAGCTAGAAACATGAAAGGATATGTGTCCAACAGCAGAATTTGTATCCATATTCCTGGTAGGATAGTTTGAATTAAAGTTTGCAACCCTTTTTCTTTCTTTCTTCACTGTTTTTTTCTTCCTTTACTGTTTTCCCTTTTTAAGGCCTATTTGTCCAATAAGAGTTTTATTTAATCTCTGAAATGTAATTCCAACAAAGAAAATTTTTATTGTCTAAGACTCTCAACAGAGTTTGGGAAAATAGAAATACCAAATGTATAATTCTCACATCTTCATAAAAGAACTCTAGTTCAGGAAAAATTAACTTTTCCAGCAGAGTTTCCCAGCCTCTGGGCCTAGCATCACTGTGCATTGCAATCCTCCCCCAGGACACCTTAGTAGCTGGAATTAAACTCATTGTGTAATTATTTAAAACAAAGCAAAACCAAAACCAAACAAACATTACCTCTCAGTTCTCTGCAACTACATAGGATAAATTCAATTTTCAGTGTACTCCTTTTAACACAGTTGTCTCATAAGTGTCCCTCACTGTGTTAAACATTTATCATATTTTTACAGATAAGGAAACTGAGGATAATAGAAGTTGAGAAATTCTCGGGATCATCTAAAGTCTCTTGTGTGCTTCTTAATGCGTTACCAGAGTTCACAGGTGGTGAACTAGGTGGCTTTCAGAGTTCCTCTACAATTGCCACTAGCCGTGCCTGATTGTGGTCTTGGCTGCCTTCTCTTATCTCTTCCCAGTAGCCCCCAATAACTCCCATACATTTCCATAAGTTCCCATGGCTGGGGCTTCTTCTCCTGCCAAAATGCCATATGCTTTTGGTGGGTGGGAAAAATCTCTTTTGAGGTCAGAAATCCTGATTCCCAACAGCTCTGCATCAAGGTGGCTTTGAGACGTCACCTCCACATCTCAGTCTCAGTAACTTGACTAGGAAATAAAGGAGATACTTCATTCTGGAATCATTGTATGAATGAGTTAGTTGCAGAAACAGCAACAAGTTAAAACATTAAAATTTCCACAAAAGGCCTGGTCTATCTACTTTCTTAGATTTGTCATGGAAGTTCAATTTAATTCAACCCAGAAGCATTAAGGATTTAATCTATGATAAGCCTTGAGGATAAAAATATGGATAAAATACAATGTGAAATAACATTTTAAGTAGAAAAATATAAAACCTATGCATTCATGTGAATAATGTCTTTTAAAGTGTTCATCTTAAGGAGCTACAGTTATTCCTCCATTGTTGACTTTGGGTTAACTATTACCTGAAATCCCTGTTTTTTGAGTACATGTGGAACGTTTTTTAAAAGTCCTTAATGGTGGTAAATCTTTGTTCCTCAGAGTGAATCTGCTTCTGAGAAACAGCTTAAAGTTACTAGGAGCTAAGTCTGGGGAGTGGGGATTCAAACTGGGAAATACTATCCTATGTCCCAAACAAGACATATTGTAAAGTTTTCTTGTGGAGCTTGTATGTGGGACCTGAGAACATTTGTTCCCATTTCTGACACTGAAGAAATGAAGTCCAACCTTCAGAAGAAGGCCAGCACCACCTCTTATAGGTCACTGATTTCTCCTCTCTCTGTTGATTGTAGGAAACTATACAACAATGGCTTTACTTCAATCCAAGGACATGCTTTCAATGGGACAAAGCTGGATGCTGTGTAAGTCAAGGGTAGTTATGGAAACCGCAATCCTCTCCCACACTCCCACTGCCAAGAAAGACCATCCACTGAGTCAGAATTCTTCTAGAGATAGGTTCTACCAGAGCATTCCTCAACCCCAGAGTTAGTATGACCAAGACTTGAGGATGATGTTAAGGAATTTGGCAAGAGCCAACTTAGTGGACATTTCATTAACTCCAATTCTAAATCCCAAAGTTTTTTTCCTCAATAAAATGGAGAACCACGGTGTTACCTTCAGTTAGCTTAAAGGAGCATGTGTATGTAAATATTCTTCCAGTAGGTATATGAAGTAAAAATGTGTCTTTAATTAACTTCAAAGCTGTTCAGAAAGTAAGGTTTTTCTTTTAGCTTTTTTCTGACACATTTTCAGGAAAGCTGTCAGTTGATATTTGATTCACTCAGAAATAGCTGAGAAGCCATACCCAACTTTTGCCTTCCCCCTAAATAAATAATGCCAGGAGGAAGAGGTTGGCAAAAAGATAGCCATTGACACGGGTTTCTGTCTTTGTTGTGCTTTTCAATTACGCATTTGTGGTCCCAGTATCTACACCAGGGCATAAGTGTGTCTAAGAGCCATCCTGGTGTACCTTTTAACCTAATATCTAATAACTGAAAAATAGCTTTAGTCAAGTCTACTTCTCACACCATGGTGGACCAGTTAATTTGTAGGGCCCTCCTACTACAAACAACTAGATCATACATTTAAAAAAATACATTTTATGCCATAGCTCCAAGAGAGGGAAATAAAACAAACTAACAAACAAGGAGCTGAAAACAAAGTGGTGGGTGCTTACAGAGGGTGGAGTTCCCACAGGGGCAGCTGCGAACATCAGTGGTGCCAGGAGACCAGGCTTTAGCATAGTGAGAAGGCAGGGGAAGTGATGGAGACCTGAGACTCCTGGATTAATCCAGGGAACCTGGACGAGAGCTGGAGTGGTACTATGCTTGTAGTACCTCCTGACTCCTGGCAGAAATACATGCAAACGTCGACGGAGGAAAGAATCCCAGTGCAGGCTCCCAGATTTTTTAAAGATTAAAATCAAAAATGACACACAGGAGAAGAAAAAACCACCATGGGTAAGAGTCAGCTGAAGCAACAAACCACAGATTTGTATTTGATTTGCTTTATAACACTTTATTGAGTATTTTTTAAATAACAATTATTATTTTTCAATTCTAGAACTTCTATTTGCTTTTAAAAAAATTTGCTTGCTCATTTTTGACAGTCTAGTTGCTTACTCATGTTTTTGTGATTCCATCTTTTTTTTCCCCTTTAAACATTTAATACATAGTCATTTTATATTCCAGAAATGATTATTGGAAAATCTGAAGGTCCATGGTTCTAGATCTGTTGTGTCGTACGGTGCTTCACAAAATTTGTTTTTTTGAGATTTACAATGCAGAATCTGATTAAGTAGATCTGGGGTGAGCCCCAGATTCCGCATTTCTAACAAGCTCCCAGGAGATGCTGATGCTGCTTGTCCATTGACCACCCTTTAGCAGGGTGAGGTAAATAACCTGCACAACCATGTGCAGGGGCCCTGGATGTGAAAAAACACACATGTAGATTAAATGATGCTCTGGTTCAGGGATTAGGTAGTAGGTTCTGATGTTATTCTATTTTTAAAGAATAAATGCAAATAAGTTTTCAAGTCATTATACCTAAGCATGGCTTTCTCAGTTCCTTTTGAAATGAGGTCTCACTCTTTTCCAGGCTTTGGGTTCCCAGTAGTCTTTATCAAATGAAAAGTTGGAGTACCTTTTTCTAGATTGTCTAGTTGTGGGCTCATTCAGGCTGATAGTAGTCATTTTCTAAAATATATAATTATACAGGAAGTCTAAAAAAGATTCAATAACGTAACACGAATACTTCTACATCAAATTTATTTACAGTATTGGAAAGACCCTACTTCCATATTAACGTTATCACAGAAATCTCACACCATCCTTCATTTATTTTTCAATATATTTATTGAACACCTACAATGAGCCAGGTACCATGCTATTCACTGGTGATACAAAGATGAATGGGAGCAATGTGCTGCCTGCCCACACTGAACACACATTCCAGTGGGGTCAACTTGAGGGCAGCAATATTAATGGTCAATGTACATTAGGGAGAAATGTACCTAATCCAAATATGTATTTCAGATTGAAAATATCTGAAAACATTAAATAGCCAATAACATTGGCCTCCCTGCTTGGAGAAATAAGCTTGATTTTCCCTAGATTTATCGTGTCTTTTAAATGATTAGCATTCGGTTTTAATATTACATAAATCTAACCAAATATTTTCCTCTTTGATTCAACTATTCCTAGCAAGCCATGACCCTTAGGGACATGATCTTCCCAATTCAAATTTTCAATGAATGAAGTAGGGAATTGGGACCTCTTAAAATAACTAAGACAGTTTGTAGATATTCAGGTATAAAGATTTCAGAAGACTGTCACACTGTTCTAGACACTGAGGGTGTGAAGATGTTAACATTAAGACAACAGAGAACTACATTAGCAAGGACAGCGGAAGGGACAATAAAGCAACTTTCAACCAGAGCTGATTCAGAGCTTCTAAATTCGGTGTGTCCTGCTGATTCTTGCCTGAATCAAAACTACAAAGGACCAGAAACCAACATTAGATATAGGATAATTCACTTCTAAAACTTTTATTTTTGCACAAGCAAAAGATTTTAAAGCCAAAGATTAGGATTTATGCTTTAAATTATTTGCTTCTTTATCCTGCCATATTTAGGCATTGGAAGATATCACCCTCCATCACTCTCAGTTATCATTTTTTGACAGAGACTTTGAGTATAAAATTCAGACTTTAAGGTCTCCAGATCATGGTTCTCAATATTGGCTGCAAGTTGGAATCACTTGAAGAGATTTGGAGGCACTGATGCCTAGGTGTTACCACCAGACCTTCTGGTTTAATTGGTCTGAGTGTACCAGAGCATGGGGATTTAAAAATTTCCCCCTGTGAATCCAATGTAAAGGAAAAGTCAAGAACTGCTGCTGTTATCAATCTTCTTGTCCAATAGTCACATTTTACCTATGAGCAGAATGAAGCCCAAAGTGAACACGTGGCTTTGTTTTTTTTTTAACATGGCTTTTAAAATTTGATAGAGCTATCAAGTGGCCAAGCCAAAGCTGGGCCTGGATCCCCTGGTTCAAGACTCTTTTCTCTGTGCCCTGCTGGGATTCATTGTTGCTGACTTACCAGCCACCACCAAGGCTTGGACACCCAACTCCTCTGCCCACTATTGCCTCTTTCCTAGCCCAGGAGAATGTTTGCACTCTTAGCTCAGTCTAGTAAAGGCGCAAAATACAGAAGCTAAAATATCTTGCAGCTGGGAAGAGTGGACTCATGTGAGAGAAAGGAGGCCACTCAAGACTCAAGGCACAACCAGTAGAAGTTTCAGGGAACAATCAGACCAAGCAACGGTCTCATTGTCAGCGAGAACCTGACTTTACTGATGCAGCAAGGTCACCAACTCAGTGAGCTTCCAAATGAGCTCTGATCGGGGGACACGTTGATGGAAAGCATGGGATGGTAAAATGTGATTAAATTCAAAGAACTGGAGGTGAAGTTAGGCCGTGTTTGCTATCTTGCTTCAAACATCTCACAGCTGCTCATAATTGGCCTTTTGGTCATGTTTAGAGAGCTCCACAAAGACTTCAAGAGATTTCCAAAGTGAATCTCTGTAATCAGGAGACTACTGTGCTAAGTGGATCTCAGTGTAACTCTAGTAGCCGATTATTTTAGGGCTTTGGTCATAAAATCAGCCACAGATTATCAAAGGAGTTTAGAGACATTTTCTATTGAAAAGATGGAAAAACTAACAAGGGAATAATAATTTCTATCCTGGCTTCTCCCCAGCTTCTGTGGTAAGAGAAGAGATGGGCGAGAAAGCATTTCCCAAATTATGTTCCTTGAACTCTCTTTCCATGGCAAGTTAATGGGTGTTACTCTTTAAAAGCTATTCGTGACCTTAGAAAGTTAAACAAAAGTATACAGGTGGACTTCTCTGGTCTTTTAATAGAACAATCTGAATTACTAGTATCCAAGAGGGGGATATAGTGTGCAGAGTTTCCCAGGGAGCTCTTGGTTCCAGGAGCCTCTCTCTGAGATGGTGTTCCACAGAACACTTTTTGGGGAATGCTAATCAAAAGAATCTTTTAATACACCACCTTGTTGGGAGGCAGTTAAATTTAACAAGGTTTGTTCTAGAGGTGGCCTGTGGAGAATCAAAAAGTTAATAAGAGTTTCAGATCACCTAGCGGTCTTCTGAAATTAAACCTATGAAAAGATTATGTAAGGAGACTCTCTCTACCTTCCCACCAACTTTCTTCTCAGACCATACCATGGGCTCTGTGAAAGGCTCAGCTCATGGCAGAGTTATTCTGTTGCAGACAATGGATTTTACTTCACTGGTTCCCTGAATTATAGTCTGTTCTAGTCACTGTAACTATCCTTGAAATACAGGAAAGAAATCAGTGCACCATTTTCACTATACTTTCTTGATATTTTTATGTAAAATATTAAAGTTATTTGGAAGAGTTTAACAAATGTGGGAAATATTTCTTAATTGAGAATCATTTGCTTCTTGATTTTTAATAGTCTAGATCAGAAATCAGCAAACTTTTTCTGGAAAGGACCAGATAGCAAATATTTTGGGCTTTGTGGGCCATAGGATCTCAGTTGCAGTTATTCAACTCTGCCATTGTAGTGAGAAAGCAGCCACAGACAATGCATAACAAATGAGTATGGCTGTGTTCCAGTAAAACTTTATTTACAAAAAACAAGTGGCAAGCAGGATTTGACCAACGGTGATAGTATGTGGATCTCTGGTCTAGACGAAGGTATTACATGAGGATGACCATTGTGTGATGAAATATGTATTGTATTTCTCCTAATTCCTGGTAAAGGGCAAGCATGGTATCTGATAACCAGTTAATATCCAAAATATAAAAAGAACTCA